ATTAATATAAGAAAGTCCATCAGATCCTCAGAAACGGAGTAATATAATCAAGTATTAATGTTAGTAAGATTCCTCCAGCAGTTGCAGAAAGCATGAAGTAGAGATGGTGTGAGAAACTTGAAGGGAGGGAAGTCAGTCATGTGATTAGTGCAACCATACAAGCAGGAAATGATGTCTTGAATCACAGCAGGGGCAGTAAAGACGGCAAGACAATGCAATTACAGGAGGTTAACAGGACAGAGTCAAAAGTGTTCAGTGATTAGCTTCATGGATCTAAGCAGTGGTTCTTAAATTTGACTGTATTCTAGGATCACCTGAGAAGCTTTTAACAAGGACAATTACCTGGCTGTAACTGAGATCAGTTAGATAAGAATAAATATCGTTTTTACACTCCTCAAATAATTCTAATGGACAGCCAAGGATGAAAACCATAGCTATGGAGCAGTAGTTCTCAATATGTGGCCCCTGGATCATCTGTATATGTATCATTTGGGAACTTGTTAAAAATATGAATTCTTATGCTCTACCTAGGGTGAACAACTGGTCTGTCTTATCTGAGACTGAAGAGTTTCTTGAGATAAAAGAGGTGGGCAAGGTGGCACACATATATAATCCCAGCACTTTGGGAGGCCAAGGCAGGAGGATTGCTTGAGCCTAGGAGTTCAGCACCAGCCTGAGCAACATAGCAAGACCCCCATCTCTACAAAAAATATTTTTTTTAAATAGTCAGACATTGTGGTGTGCACCTGTAGTCCCAGCTACTTGGGAGGCCAAGCTGAGAGTTTCCCTTGAGTCCAAGAGTTTGAAGCTTGCAGTGAGCCATGATCATGTCACTACACTTCAGCTTGGGCAATAGAGTAAGACTCTGTATCCAAAAAAACGGGGGGGGGGGTGGGTTGGAAAGAGAAAAAACTTTTAGTGCTAAAACTTATAGTCCCAGGAAACGTGGGGTAGTTGGTCATTTTAATCTGACACATCAGACCTACCAAACAGAAACCCTGGAGGTGAGGCCTAGCTATCTACATTTGAAGACCACTGGTATCATGTATTCTGAAACTGCATACTTACAGGCTGTTTTAGTCCATTTTGTGATGCTTATAACAGAATATCTTGGACTAGGTAATTTCAAAGGAACAGAAATTGATTACTCATAGTCCTGGAGGCTAGGAAGTTCAAGATTGAGGGGCTGGAATCTGGCAAACCACCTTTATAATCAGCATTAATCCATTCTTGAGAGCCAAGACCTCATGATCCAAACCTCCCATTAGGCTTCTCTCCCAACACTGTTGCACTGAGGATTAAGTTTCCAACACCAGCTTTTTGGGGGACACATTCAGACCATAGCACATGCTGCCAAACACATGGAAAATGTGGCCTGAAGATAGTGAACAAAGGGAAAAGTATGGGGGAAAGGAAAACATCTCTTTTTTTCAACACAATGCTTACGGAGACAAACAGTAGCATGCCTATTGTATTTTCAAAACTTTCCCTAACATTATTATCTAACATAGTGAAACCAGCTAAAGGTTAACATTTATCCAGACAGAACTTCTGATTTCATAAAATTTAACTAGCCAAATGATGATTTTTAGTGACCATGCATTTTTAGTTCCCTCATTTTACTTTAAGGAAACCGAGACTCAGAAAAGTTAAATGATATATCCAAAGCCTCACTGCATGTATATGGCGGTGTCAAGATCAGACTGGTATTTCCTCCGGGGCAAGGGTTATGTTTTTACTTAGTTGTATCATCAGCCCATAGCAATGTTTGGCACATAACAAGCTTTTGCCAATCCATTAAATGAATACATGAATGAAGACTCTAAGATCTCCTGCCAATGGTCTTTGTACAAACTCAATATTCTTTTAAATCAGGTCACACTGTTCTCAGTGTCATGCTGGTTGGAGGTACCCAAGTTAGCTGTTCAGTCTTGAGGACTCAAAATTAAAACCTGTTATGAATTAAATTAATTCTTTCTTTCTAATTGGCAGCCTTTCTTGGGCATTGGTTTCGTTTTGTTGTATTTTCATAGTACTGATTGGGCATTAAGCCTACTTGGAATTAACTTGCATTTGTTTTCTCCTGCACAATTTCAATTTAATATAAATGTGGTCAATTTATACATTGTTATTATTTTATTTGCTAGAATAAAAATGTCCTAATCTAGGCACAGACCTTGTTAACCATAACAGGGTTAAGTCAGACCTCTGAGTTTTCCTTCTGCCTCTTACTAACTGATCCTAATACATTGGATAAACAGTCGGTCAGGCCAACACAAACACACCCACTGCAACTAGAAGTGAATTTAGGGATCAGCTCTTGTAGCCTCATTTTGATACATAAGTTGAACAATCTACTGTGGTTTGCCTGGCAATATTGTCCCAGTGTAATTATTAATAGGGCCCCCCTTCATTGCTAAGTGTCCCCATTTGGACAATTAATTATATGATCACCCACCATATGAGGAATTTCAAATCTGGAGAGTTCATGTGATCTAACCTTCAGACATGCAGTAAGTTAATGACAGAACTGGACAAATTTTAAAAAGTTGCTTTTCTTTACCACTTTACATATTAATCTGCTTTTCTAACATTTCAGAAAACGACAGTTTTTAGTTTCAAGTTTTAATTATAAATATCACTGCAATAATTTTACCAAAGTATAGCATGTCCACATTTCCCACTTAGAATCCTAGAGGATCTCACAGGGTTAGTTTCAGCCTAATGGCATTGTATCCAAAATTTCTGTTTTTAAAATTCAACTTACAGAAAACAATCTCATGCCAGCAATAGGGTGGTGGTGAAGCATATAGATTTGGCAGCCAGATGCCTGTGTCCACAGCCCAACTTCATCAATAATCAGCTCCATGGCTCTCAGTATTTTGTGTTTCAGTTTCCTCATTTGTAAAACAGGAATGATGATGGTAATAATAGTATCTAATTCCCAGAGTTTTTGAGAACAAAATAATTATATGTGAGTTGTATGTAAAGGACATACTGTCACCTGGCACATAGCAAGCACCATGCATGTCTCAGCTTTGAACACTGTTTTTATTACCTCATCTGCTGTAAGCCACTCTTCCCTCACGTGCACTTCATACTCCTGCAGTGACAAACTTTGGCCAGATCATGTAGCTTTATGAACCTTGCACGCTCCCAAAAGTGAGTATTACAAAGGCAGAGGCTTTGTATTACTGTATGCCAAGTAACCAATTTCCATACTGGTTACTTGTATCCCAAGTATGGAAAAGACAAGAAAGTAGACTCTTAATACATACTTCTTAAATAAAAAGGAATGAAAGGATGATTAAGTTAGTTGACCTATACAGAAGACAGGTACTCCTGTTCCACATTTCTCTTGTAACTTCATCTCACCTCCTTTAAGAAAAATAAATCCCACAAAACCCTGGATTTTGCAAAAAATCTTGCAAACAGTCTCTAAGGAATGGAAGACGACAAACTGAATGAAGAGGCAGTTAGGGATGTTGACAACAGGGATAGAATCCAACAGGGAATTTTCCTGCTCTTTTGGTGGTCCATTGTACACGTATCTCTAGAATTTTGAAACTTCATATTTCTACATTGCCTGTAATTCTAATAGATGGACAGTAATTTATATTAATAAGTATCTTCTTTGAAAGACCAGAAAACCTACAAGGAGGGTAAAGTATTATTAGTCAAAAACATTCATACATTTGAGTTCCCTCTGATTACACTTTTCCTGACACCAGGTAATTCACTTGCACTGAATTTATTGGAGGTTTTTAATGCAGAAGTGGAGAAGATGGGAGGAGGAATAAAAAACTTCAGAGCATGGTGTACTTCATGGATCAGGGATCAAGCCCGGAAGTGATTCTCAGACACGCTTACAACCTGGAGACAGAGGAAGTAAGTGTTAAGAAAGAGGTATAAAAGGAGAAAGGGATATTAAAATAATATACTTCCTTGGTTCCAGAATTTTTTTTTCTAGATCCATCATTAAACATAAGAAAGAAGGAAAGTTAATTTTTCTGACTTATTCTCTCTCATAACTATGTGGACACTGCTTCCCTCCTAGTTTATAATAAATAATAGGAGTGGCAGAAAAAATTACATTGTGTGTGTGTGTATATATATATATATGCGCAGACATACAGGCAAGAATGAATCATTTAAAAACACAGCTGGACATAATGAGGGAGAAATTGTTAACTGATCTATTGTAATCAAAGAGATAGAGGTAAGGCAAGTTCAAAATAACCAATAAGCCAAATATTTCTAGACCTTAAGCTTCTTGGATGTGGAGACGAAGTCTTAGTTATTACTGGGTTACCAGCATCTAGCCCAGGGCCTAACACAGGGGCTCTATAGTATGAATGAATGGATGAATTTGGCTTCACAATCAAGACAGTAACATGTTTATTCTCCTTTCTGTGTCCGGAATTGGTGGGTTCTTGCTCTCCTTGACTTCAAGAATGAAGACCCGGACCCCAGCCACCAGTGCTACAGTTCTTAAAGATGGTGTGTTCGGGGTTTGTTCCTTCAGATGTGTCCAGACTTTCTTCCTTCTGGTGGCTTCGTGGTCTCACTGACTTCAGGAGTGAAGCTACAGACCTTCTAAGTGACTGTTACAGTTCATAAAGGTGGCGCGTCGGGAGCCGTTGGTTCCTCCTGTCTAGAGTTGTTCGTCTCTCCCCGTGGGTCCGTGGTTTTGCTAGCTTCAGCAGTGAAGCTGCAGCCTTCTGCAGTGTTACAGCTCATACAAGCAGCAGGGACACAAGCAGTGGGCAGCAGCAAAATTCATGGCAGGGTGGCCTGCTTTTATTCCCTTGCCTGGCCCCCCCCCCCCCCCACGCACATTTTGCTGATTGGTCCATTTTGCAGATAGCTGATTGGTCCGTTTTACAGAGAGCTGATTGGTCCGTTTTGACAGAGTGCTGATTGGTGCTGTTTACAAACCGTTAGCTAGACACAGAGTGCTGATTGGTGCGTTTACAATCCTTCAGCTAGACAGAAAAGTTCTCCGAGTCCCCACCCCTCCCAGAAGCCCAGCTGGGTTCATGTTTCACTGCTAGTGCCCTGGGGACTTTGCAGCTCCTAGCCTGGGCACTCCGGCAGCCTAGCGGGAGCTTGTCCCAAGAGGAAAAGGGGGGAAACAAGAAAGAGAGGGAGACCTGCCATCGTGGCCAACGACCCCGCGAAGAGGCAACGGCGGTCCACGCAGGGGACCTAGCCTCCAATCAGGCCCAGCAGGCGCCGGCCGGCCACACCGAGTGCTGGACCCGCCGAGCCCGCGCCCACCCGGAACCCGCACCGTAGCGCGCAGCCCCGGCTCCCGCCCGCGTCTCTTCCTCTACATCTCCCCGTGAGCAGAGGGAGCCGGCTTCGGCCTCGGCCAGCCCCAGAGAGGGGCTGTCATAGCGCACCGGCGGGCTAAAGGGCTCCTCGAATGTGGCCAGAGCGGACGCTGAGGCCCAGGAGACGCCGAGAGCAAGCGAGGGCTGCTAGCATGTTGCACCTCTCACTTCCTCATTTTTTTCCTCTCTTCCCCGGTTCACCTTTGTCGGCTTGCGTCTGGTCCCTTCTTGACTGACTTCTGTTTTCTGAGGTAAGAATTCTTTGAAATTTTTTACCCCAGTTTATGTTAAGGCCACAGACCATGTGGAATCCAAACAAACAAACAAAAGAGTGGAACAACCACAGAGCCCACAATCACGGAGCCAACAACCACCGAGCCCAACAAAGGGCCACATAGAAGCCAGTCCCACTACAGTGCTCTGCCCTTAAAGACAACAACGTCCTCCTTTTCAGCTTTGCCTTTTGGTTCAGATTTTTTAGAAACTCTCATTGGCTGCTGGACAGTCAGTGGTTTTGCTCTCTTGGATTAGGTGTACTTCCTCTGGTCCAATCAGCTGTGAACAGGAAGGATGGAGTCAGCTAGTCACAGGTGTTCCTGCCTTGGGTTGACAGAAAAATGCTGTGTTAGTTTGCTAGGGCTGCAATAACATGGTATCAGAAACTGGGTGGCTTAAAAAACAGAAATGTATTTTTTCACATTTCTGAAGACTTGAAGTCTGAGATCAAGATGTTAAGCCATAAAGGAAGGGTTTGTCTATTCCAGGCTTCTTTCTTTGGCTTATAGATGGCTGTCTTCTCCCTGTTATGTTCACATCATCATCCCTCTGTTAGGTGACTGTACAAATTTCCTCCTTTTATAAAGGTATTAGTCATATTGGATAGGGCTCACTCTAATGACCTAATTTTAACCTAACTACATCTGTAAAGATCATGTCTCTAAATATGACCACATTCTGAGGTGCCAGAGAATGCAACTTCAGCATATAAATTTTGTGTAGGGCGGTCGGGGCTAGTGCATATCAGCTTCATTCTTTTAAATCTCTATTGATTTATTGACTTATTGATTTATTTTATTTTTTTTGAGACAGAGTTTCGCTATTGTTACCCAGGCTGGAGTGCAATGGCGGGATCTTGGCTCACTGCAACCTCTGCCTCCCAGGTTCAAGCAATTCTCCTTCCTCAGCCTCCCGAGTAGCTGGGATTACAGGCATGCACCACCACGCCCAGCTAATTTTGTATTTTTAGTAGAGACGGGGTTTCTCTGTGTTGAGGCTGGTCTCGAACTCCTGACGTCAGGTGATCTGCCCACCTTGGACTCCGAAAGTGCTGGCATTACAAGCATGAACCACTGCGCCTGGCCTTAAAATTTTTTTTAAAGTTTAGATTTTGGGGGATACATAGTAGGTGTATGTATTTATGAGATACATGAGATATTTTGGTACAGGCATGCAATGCGTAAAAATCATGTCATGGAAAATTGGGTATCCAGCCCTTCAAGCATTTATCCTTAGTATTAGAAACAATCCAACTATACCCTTTTAGTTATTTTTAAATGTACAATTAATTTATTATTTACTATAGTTCCCCTGTTGTGCTATCAAACACTAGGTCTTACTCATTTTTTTCTATTTTTTTGTACCCATTAACCAACCCCACCTTTCCTCCATCCTCCCCGCTACCCTTCCCATCCTCCAGCAACCCTCCTTCTATTCTCTATCTCCATGAGTTCAATTGTTTTGATTTTTAGGTCCCACAAATATGTGAGAACATGTGATATTTGTTTTTCTGTGCCTGGCTTGTTTTACTTAACATGATGACCTCCAGTTTCAGGTGCATTCTTTAATACAGCAGCAGAGAAGTGTGAGCATCTTTGGTATCCTATTAATGAAGGTTCTACCCTGACTGATTATCTAGGGAAAGCAATTGAATGACACAAGGAGCATAGAGTTTTGGACATAATTTTCTACAATCCCTTGTAAAATGAAAACATTTATTTCCAAAATAGAAAAGATTTATTTTCCCAAAAAGAGGGCTATAAAATTCTCTTTATCATCCTTGACATTTATTAAGATATCAAAAACTATTCCTAATGATGTAGGAAGTCATCTGTGTCCCCTGTTCATTTTTTGAGGTGTGTCACATATGGGATATAGTAATTATTCCTGACATTGGAGCCTGGCCCTTGATGTTTCAGAGAACATAAAACCAAATCAGCATAAAAAACCACTTCCAAGGCATACCAAATTAAGCTCATGTTCAGTTTTCAATTATTCATCATCCCCAGGGCAGGAGGAATAGATGCCGGAATCAAAACAATGGAAACAAGCAGTCTGCATTTGGACTCTGTGGTATAGAGCTGTGTACATGGAATAGAGACAAGAAGAATGTGACAGAAGGAATATGCAGTTCCAGCACGACTGCTGCTGCCTTTGAACCCTACCAGGCAACAGCAGCCTCAATTAGTGGAGTCACAGTTCTCATAATCTATGCATATGCACAGCAAGCAGGGGACAAGTATGAAAACAAAGTGAGGAAAGGAAGGAGATGCAAGTGAACAATTTCTAAATACTTGGAATCTGCCTATGTATCATCGGAAGAGTAGGGACATAACATCATGGGAAGCTTACTATGGACCGAGCAGAATCTAAAAGTCTAAGTACTTCCCTCTGTACCCTGATTCCATTGTCTTTACCTAAAAGTGAGAAACTAAGATATATATATATCTTATGTATCTCATATATATCTTATATATATAGTCACATTTCTCACATCCACATTATCTGCTGTTTAGTCCTAAATCAGGAAAAAAGTGGTTTCTAGGTAATAGTGGGGCAGTGAACATGAAGATGAGCCTAGGTGGAGCACCAGCGGGTGACAGTACCTCACAGTGCCTACTGTTATTTTGTAGGGCAACATAGAAAATAACATAATTAACTCTATGAGGCATCCCTCATAGAGTTAATTAACACTGCAAGCTCGACTGCCTCATAGCAGTAATAAATGAACTTGTTAATGATAAGGCTGACCCACAAGGCCTTTCCACTGAGAAATTAAAGGGTGGTACTTTTTCTTTTGTCCTAAACATTGAAATTTGATCAACAATTTCTGTAGAATTTTGTAAAGATTGATAGGCTGAAGTTTGAAATTCAGAAGAGAAAGGATTTAGAAAGATCTTGGAAAAGGCACTCTGTGTTTTACCAACATACAGGTAATACTTCATTTCTTAATGAAAGTGTAGGAGGGAGAAAGGAGCTTATTTAATGAGTACTTAAGAGTCAGAATTTCTTCCAGAAATATGAGTTTTCCCATTAAACTCACAACCGTTCTATGAAGTACATTATCTTTGTGCCAGAGTATGAACATAATTGTTTAAGTATGAAAACTTAGCACTGTTTTTCATTTTCCTTCCTTCTTTTTTTTTTTTTTTTTTTGTTACATTGGAAAGTCAAAATGTAAAATTTCCTCCTTACCCTCCACTTGCCCTCCGCTCACTGGGAGGGTTTGAAAATTACCTTTGTCCAATCCTGGATGAAAAAGAAACTCATTTTTCGTTGGTTGATTTTCCTTGTAATGGATCACTGAGGTCAATTAGGAAACAAACAAAAAGAATAGAGAGATTTCCCAAAGAAGCAGAGTGACTTGGAAGAAAAGGGAAGTAGACAAGAGCCCACTCCTCCAAGCCCTTATGCCCCTGCCTATAAAGCAAAGGAGGATTCCCTCACTAGGGTTGATGGAGAGAGGGCTGAAGCACTGGAGCAGGATACTCATAACACTTCCCTGGCGAAAACTCCTGGGAAGCTGAAAGATTCCAGAGAAGAGTGCTTGGGTGATACTGCCAAGACCAAGAATTATAGGACCTTAAGCAAATCCTCCACATTCACCAAGATGCCTTCATTCTTACCTGCAGCCTCACTGTATTTCAGATAGGTTTCTTTCTGACTATAAGTTCCCGGCCTCTTTTTTCTTAGTGCATTTGCTTTAGAAAACTTGGAATTGCAAGTTATTTTTTCTGCAAGAGGTATATAAATCTCTCAGCCTTTTGCCAGTTTTGCACCCAAAGAATGTCATTTTCAATGACCTGTGAGTCATCCCCTTGAAATGTAATCATCAAGAAAGATAGGGTCCTATCTCCTCATCTTTGTAGGAGGGTAGGGGCCTGACTTAGATCAGCGCCAGTGAGAAAATACCAAAGGCCTAATCACATTGATCAATCTCCCCACTCAATGGTCCTCCAATACTTTTCCAGTAGTTCACCCCAATGCTTAAAAACTGTCTTGCTTTTCATTCCAACAAAGTTGAGTTCAACATCTCTCCCCTATTGTCATAGTCTTGATCCTTATTGCAATAGTCTTGAATAAAGTTTCCTTGCCCGTTTAAGTTTTTTCAGTGTAATTTTTCTTTGACAACACCCTGAGACTGGAAGAAAAGAACACAAAGAGGGGATTAAGGAGACATTCACATGGACGTGTCAGAAGAAACCTATGTGGGGAAATGACCAATAACCAGAAATACCCTCTTCTTAACTCTTTGACACTGCATATGAAATACAAAATGTGGCATAGACTGGGTGACCTCCTCCATGACTTTTAAATTTCCTATCATCAGTTCAGCAGAATGGGAGCTCATGGTAAAGATACACACAATAAAGTGTTCCTTCTCACCCTCACAGCTGTTCATACTATTGTCACTACCACGATGCCCTTTTATGATGGACTCAATGTTTCTATTCCTGTATAATTCATACGTTGAAGCCTTGTCCTACAATGTGATGGTATTTGGACACATGACCTTTGGGAGGTAACTAGGTTTAGAAAAGGTCACGAGGGTGGGTCCCCATGATGGGATCAGTACCCTTATAGGATGACAAAGAAGGGAAAGATAGGAGCTTGCTCACCTCACCACATGAGGGCCCTCACCAGAACCCAACCACACTGGCACTATAATCTCAAACTTACAGCCTCCAGAATTGTGAGAAATCAATTTCTGTTGTTTAAACCACCCAGTCTATGGTATTTCGTCAAGTCAGCCTGAGTTAAGTTGCTGATTAGTGGAGTGAGCAAACAGAGGCTCAAGATTTAGTTCATGGGTCAAGAGACATGAGGATGGGGTAGAGACATGAGGATGGGGTAGAGCCATCTGAAAAACAGAAGCCAAGAAAAGTTAAGGAGGTTAAGTAACAGAGTGGTAGATGAGAAATAATCACCTGGGGAAGTGGAGGAAGAGTTTATAAGAGATTACAGGTAAGACAGG